AGAAAATTAAGAATGCGAAACTAAAACTCTATTTCAGTAAAACTTATGGTCCTTTTTATTCTTATAAACCCCTTAGCAGAACTAAGTTGCTGTGGTGGGATGGGGTATGTCTGCATTCACCAGCTACGCCTGTGAAACTTCATAAAGAGACATACCGTAAATGCTTTAATAAGCGCCGCTCTTGAATAACCACTGCTCTCAAATAGGTGCCGCTGCGCTTAAACAAGAGTATATATTATTTGCCCTGTGTGTAATGAACACTTTAAGAAACAGGATTTTAAATACGAGGTGCTTATTCGAGCATTTACAGTAAGCTCTGATGGATTTGAAACTATTTTTTTTATCAAACTAAACATGACCAAAAGAACAAATATGAAACAGCTTGTACAAATTCCTCTTAATTTTACCCGAACAAATCATGCGCCGAAAGTATACCATGATATCCTTCTACAAGCAGAAAAGTTTAATGCACACAGCTACGGAGCTGCATTAATGTGTACCTAAAATTTTATGCACATTTTTGTGCAAAAAAGTCTATATTTACATGCATATACTAATATGTCTATTTGAATCACCATTTCCTTGGTCGGGTACAAATTACATTATAAAACGATTTAAGCAACTCAATCGAAAGGTTGAGATATTCTCAACCAAAAACAACAGTTCTTTTCAGAACTATCTATGTGATGTACCACAAGCATTAATATATATTATTACTTCGCCATGCAAACCTTCAAACAATACATTGTACTTAAAATATTTTAATATAGTTAAAATATTTATTTTTATTTGGATTTTTATTGTGATTTTTAAAATTGTATTTTATGGATTTTAAATAAAGTACATAATGAATATTTTTGGATGGATTATAAACAAGCGCACTATTTTTGGATTTATAGCTCCTTTAAAACAAACTCGAGGTACTAAATACACCTTGAACCTGCAATCGAGTAGTTTGGCATTGACAGTAAAGTACATCAGTGCAACAGTCACTTGTGATTTATAATGTGAATTACTTCAGTTTCTCATTCGCAACATACGTCAAGTGATGCAAGCAACACATTGCAACTGGTGCTCGGTGGTTAATACGCTTGTCTTTCAATCTCAGGGCTCTAGGTTCAAGTCTTGTCAAAACAAACAATTTTTCTTATGAGTTCTATCTCAAATGATGTGACACGTCTTGCTGTTGGAAGTAAATAAAATAAGTAAAATTTAAACTAACAAATCATAAGACGGGGACTTCCCTTTTCAATCAACATTTTTTATCACTGCATGCCTAATTAAAAACCAATATTTAATATTTTTAGACTATTATTTGTAAAAGTTAGCTAAGCTGCTCATTCAAGTTATACCTTGGGCTTATGCCCGAGGAAAGGCTGGTACGTACAATTGGGTCTATAAAGTAGGGTGTGGGCTTATACCAGAGTAACTATGGTAGATAGGTAATATACAAACATTTTGTATTAATACTGTCTCTTATACACATCTAGATGTGTATAAGAGACAGTTATTATCAAAACAGAAATTAGGCCTAAATAAAAAAATAAATACATGTAGTAGAGACAGATTTCCTTGCCCTGGCTCATGTACTTGTGTATTTTTGACGCAAACTAGCCTAGGTCAAATTCACGGTCCACAAATTTTCACGCAACACACTTACACGCGCCACCACCTCGGTCCTCGGCATTGTGTGGAGGGAGGTTTAAATTTTATTATGTAATTTATACTGTGATCTATGAAAAAAATAAAACCATGATGGTAGGCCTAAAGTAGCGGTAGGTGATTTTTTAATTACCAAAACACACAGTAATTGCTGACTGTCTCTTATACACATCTAGATGTGTATAAGAGACAGGTGTTGGTTTGGTTCGTTTAGGCGTTTTCTTTTTTCTTTGTTAGTCTAGGTTCATGGTTTTTTTTATTCTCTTGTCCGTTTCCTTCCGTTGTTGTGAAGCGCCTCGAGGTTGGTCTAACGGGAGGCGCTATAAAAATCGCTATATATTATTATTATTATTATTAATATATTGCATATTGCTATGTATTTAATAGTTATTATTGATGCAGTATGCTTTATTAATCCTTTGTCAAACACATGAAAATTTAGTTTTGCTAATATTGCATAAGAAAAATAAAACAGAAGAATATAAAATACACGTCATAATGTCATCACATTTGCTGTATCCCAAGGTGGGTTTGTTAAAAACCTAAGGCCGGATTATCATACCTCAACGTTCAAAGTATCAGAGAGTAGGATCGCTCAAATTCTAAGGATAGATTAATGTACTGAAATTTGAACTATGTATCCTGATGCAGAACATCCTCTATTTATTAAACATTGTACAGTAGTATATCTTATTTTTTCCCCAGATTAATATATTTAGATTTGTAGGCTAATTTAGGCTGTTCATGGCTATACATTATATTCTTGACTCCGATTTATGAAACTTGTATTTTTAGTTTGTGTATATAATCAAGACAAAATAAATTAAATGATATGCCAAAGGGAAAATCTAAAAAAAAAATTAATTATAATTTGTGGAAAAAATGTTTATTCATTCACTGTAAAAATAAATAGTTTCATTTCAACCAATTTATTCAAAAGAATAAAACATTCAAGCAAAACCTAGGTCACATGCTTACCCTGAAAAGCAGGGTGAAAGGAAAGGTAATATCAAAATTACATGTTACAAAATAAAAATTACATTATTGTTGTCAATAATCTTAATTATGGAATTATGACTGAGGGATTTTAGAGTGTCCCTTAAAGTAAAAAGAGCGACCGCTCACTGGTCCGCGCATTCCTGCATGCTTAAATACGGTGCAGGTGTGTTATATTAGCTAATAAGATAGAAATTTTTTAATAATTAGAATTGTCTTTCTTAGTTTAAAAGACAGTTAAATATGCAGGGTTGGTTATTACACTGTCTAGTACAATTTATATCTGCAAAGTCAGGATAGTACATGAGGAATAGTGCAACCAACCCCTGAAATAGCTTCATCAATGCTATTGATGTGCTTTTCTAGGCTACAAACTCCAGCCACTGTTGCATCCAACTTTCAGTTGTTCTAGACAGCTGCCCTGGAGCAAAGCTATAGTACTGTAAGTAGTATGTGGGCCTAGGAAATACTTCACATACTTGACATTGTTGAAACACTTCTATAGGTCACCGTCAGTGCAAGGATGCATAATGGTTACTGGAGCATGAATTGTAACAACAGCAACAATTGTTGAGCGCGCAGTGATCTCTACCAGAGCCGACCAAATTTGACAGTACCAATTAGCATAGTTCTTTCTGCATCCTTCTGTTCGCATTCTTTGAAGTTTCCAAGCTCTACCTCCGCTGAAATATTTACATATTTTCAATTATCTGCAGCATGATACCTCGAATGCTCAAAGCTGTAGACAGATTCATTATTGCTTAAACGTATTAATGCTTAAACATACGTAATCCATATATTCCTTTTCACAAGAGCACAAAATGTACGTAGATGTAGGGGTAAACTTTGTAATCTTATGAAAATAACAAACATGGTGATCTCAAAATTAGAACAGTCATCAATTTATTTACTCTTTTCAGGAGGGACGTGTTAAAAATAAAAAATGTGTTCTGTACGCTCTTGAAAATAAATGAATGGCTTTTGCAGTTAAAAAAATGTTGGTAGTGCATATTGTAGATTGTTTCTGCTGAACTGTGGAGAGTATTGTACTTCAATCCCTAGTTGGCTCCAACCCAGATCTTCATCATCACCTGCTTCTGATGAATTTGGCAGTAATACTTAGCTTTTGAAAAACTGTTGTACAGATGAAACATTTAAGTTGTTAGTCCCATGTGGGACATTTTACTTGGACATGATGAAGAACTCAGCATAGTTTTCTTAAAACTATAGGAGATAGCATGGTTCCCTTTTGCCTTGCTCATGTCATTAGAGCCTAGTTTCCCCTAATTTGTGGACAAAAACAGCCATAGATTAAATAAGGTTGTTTTGCTCGATCCATCCAATAAAGCCAACTTCATACAGCTACGTTACTGCAGTATTGCTAGAAACTTCTCGGCATTGCTTTCTGTGAATTTGACATATAAGAAACTTGCCAGTGTTCAGGATAATTGGATTATAAGTAATGAGAACTACAAAATATAATTGCCCCTACTATCCTTAAAACTCATTT